AAAACCTAAACCAAAACATGAATATCATGCCGGCTCAAAAGTTAATCAAACACATATTGTTATGCAACAGCCAAGAAAACAGTAAAGTAATAAATTGAAGAACGAGCGAGAGCAAGTGTAAAAGCAAAATTTGCATAAACTATCTGATCATAATTAACATCAAAACAGTTATCTATTTATATACAAAATGATAAGAAAATACAACAATAAATTTTATAGTATAACTAACAACACGAATAAACAAGAAAACGGTTTACAAGCGCAACGAAAAAATGAAACACAAAGATTTTAATTTTAATAATAAAACAAATGATCAATGTTAATCTTAATAATTATGAAATGTTTGATGGTGATAAACTCTGATCAGTGTTATCGTTTGTGTTATTCTTATTCGTTTGTTCTACTACTACATTGCGTGCTGTTGATGAATCACTTTTTTCATTGAGATTGTCCAATTTGAGTTGAATCGTTTTAAGAAGATCAAACTATAAAGAATATAAAACAAATCTGATGTATACATAATCATTTTTATTGAGCGTTGATGAAAAGCGATGAAAATATAGAAAATAAAAGAGTTGAATAAAATTATCTAATCAATGATAAATCGGCTTTACTGCTATATAATTTTTAGCTCTATTGTTTCTTATATATAGTTTAATGCACACACTTTTGTGACATCACTCAATTATCCGATTTTCTAATATAATTTTGAAACATTATAATTAATACTTACCACTCGTGAAACTTGTCCTTGTTGATGTGGCCATGATGGTAAATTTTCAAAAAATGAATGTTCACAAATACCCTGGGAAAATTTGCTTAGTGTGGGTAATTGATACTTTTCAACGCCCTCTGTAGGATAATTTAATAATGGTGTACCATAAACATGACTGAGACTACGCTGTTCATACGAGAATGCTGATGGTAAACCAAATGTTTCATTCATTGGTTGAGTATCGATGGTATCATTCTGACTATCTAATGGTGTTGTTGTTTCTAATGGGGAAAACGTTTCATCTGCTAATTTAAATTTTTTATCTTGTTGTTCTACTGGTTTCAGTGCTTCACCACCAAAACTCGCTTTCCGTTTAAGACTTGGTTTCTTGACTAAATAGGCTTCTTTAATCATATTTTCTTTACTTTGTGAGCTATTATATTGAGGTAAATTAAAATGATCAGATTCATCAACAAATCCTTCGGGAATGGTCGAATTATATCCCGAATATGATATCACTTTATCAATATCGTATTCAAAACTATTATCAGCATCTAAACCATTTGAACTCTGATTGAAGGGTTGTTCTATAGTAAATGACAAATGAGAATTCCGTTGGTCATCAGAAACAGTTGGCGGTTGTTGTTGTTTAGAATTATTTTCAACTATTTCACCTAGAAATAATAAAATAAAAGAACAGATATAAATAATTCTAAAAATATACGATGTGTCTACCTTCTTCATTATCATGAAATACTTGTAAACCGGATTTTTTGACACGTGCTTCTCTTAACCATCCTGGTGGATAACCACATTTTCTCATATTATAAATGTATATTGGTAATTGTTGCTCTTTTAAACCGAGTGCACGACGTAATTCTAAACTTATCACACCCGGTTTGAACTGACGAAACCGTTCATCAATAATCATATCGGGCATTAAACTTGTTTGATAAGAATCTTCATGATAACGACTTGTATCATGTGGTAAACCGCTACCACTATTATTATGATGGCCACCATTTAACATTGATGGATCACTTAGGCCCATTGATTCTGCTATTTGTTCTTGAAAATGCTCACGATTGCGACGAATACGCTCTTGGTCAAGTTTAACTGGACAATGAGCAACCGGATGATCGCCTGAGCCGCAATTAAAACAACCTAGAATAAAATTCCATAGTAGTTCAACTGGTATTTATGTACTTCTTCTAGAGAATACGTACATGATTTTGGTCTTCGTGTTCGTTGAATATTTGCTTGTTGTTCACTATCTGGTAATGCGATACGATAGATCTGTTCAAATTGTGGTACACACCATCCTTGTTGTAAAGCTCCAACATCCATCGAGGCTATTTGTTCTCCAGTACGATCAATACAATAATAATCGAAATATTCAATTACAGTATTATTTTCGCAGTCGAGTGAATTGATTTTAGCCGTTTTTGATGGTTTTTGTTTCGCTCTCATTGCATGAATAAGTGCAATGACTGTGCGTTCAAAATGACTTTTTTCTTCATAATCGTAGCGATCAAATATAAGAGAGCATGTAAACAATGGTATATTTGGAGATGATCCTAGAGTATTTTCCATATTATCTGGATCCGCTATACCATCTATATCGGTGTTATGTGGCGGAGTGGAAAAATTATGATTTTGTGACAAGTCATCGTCAGTCATAATTAGATATTTGTATCTTAAATGAAGAAAGAAAGAGAAATTAGACATATTTTAAAACACTCAATAGAATAAATATTCAAATACTGTAGCACCGTCTATAATTCTTCTGTCAATTATGACGGTGAGAGTAATAGTTTACGGGAAGATTATTTCTGTAATATAAATATAGTACCGTACATCGCTGGCACTAATATACTACATACAAACAGAGTGAGCTGTAGTCAAGCTAGAAAATACTACATACAATGACTTTCAGCCGTATACAGTCATTTTTTTATCAAACCATGGCGAACAGAACTACAGAAATTATAACAACACGATCCTCTACATTTATTTCTTTTTCTTTCTGGAATAGGAGAGAAGTAAAATACAATAAGCTGATTACAAACACTAAAAAGCCCTTTAAACAACCAAATAACAACAAAATTGACAAGTTTATATCAACTATTTTGATAATAAGAATAAGAGAAAAAATTATGAACCCACGACCATAGAAATAGACAAATATTGCTTTTACACTTGCTCTCGCTCGTTCTTCAATTTATTACTTTACTGTTTTCTTGGCTGTTGCATAACAATATGTGTTTGATTAACTTTTGAGCCGGCATGATATTCATGTTTTGGTTTAGGTTTT